CACACACACACACACACACACACACACACACACACACACACACACACGGCGGGGAATGGGTGAAGAGAACAAGCAACCAAACCAACAGCAACAGTCTGGAATTATTAAAAGCTGCAACAGCATAGAAATCACATCATCAGATCATTAAAACAGGGGAGCACATCCGACCTGTTAAATGCCTCATTCTCTCTCCTGTAAACTTTCTACTCTTGACTTCTAATTCATAATCCCCCTGTCTCAGTCTTCCTGACTACTGGGTCACTCAGCAGCAATATGACTTTCCCAGAGAGCTGGAACATGTCTACAATCCTCGCGCTAGGGAGGCTGAGGTAGGAGGATAGGAGGATTTCTGTAAGTCTGAGGCTCTCCAGGACCAGCTAATGCTACATGGTGAAATGGAGAGATGAGTGATGAGGATGGTGGCACCTGTAACCCTGGGGAAGGACAACTACATGGACCTGAGCATTTGAGGACAGCTTGGACTTCACAGTGAAAGGCCACCTCAGAGCCAGGAATAACAAGGAATTCTTAACGGTAAACATCATTCCTCCAAAGAAACATAGCTCACTTTAAACAATAAAAAATGGAAAAGAATTACCTGTTGATCAAATATTCATCCTTTGTCTTATGATGAAACACAGGAATTGGAACACCCCAAGCTCTTTGCCTTGATATGCACCAGTATGGCCGCCTGTCCAACATGTCAACCATGCTATTCAGTGCTGCTCCGGGAATAAACTTCACTGTTTTTAACAACTCCTGCAATTCAGTCATTGTCATATCAAGTGGGAGAAGCAGAAATGTTAAAGAGCTCTCCTGACTCTTCCTAGTGCAGTTCTTCATTCTGAGTGCCTACGGCCATTCACATCCCTCCCATGCCCACCACAGGCAGACAGATGACCAAAAAGCCAAGGCTTCAAAGCAAAGCAGCCAAACTAAACTTCAATACTGTCAGGAGTGGACAGAGGGGCGTATATACCAACATATGGCTGGAATCCCAGCACTAGGGATGCTGAGACAGGAGGCCTGCCACAACTTTGAGGCTACCCTAGCCTACATAGTGAGTTCCTGCCAGCAAGAGGTATATAATGAAGTCTTGTCTCAAAAACAATCACGTAAATAAGCACACAACAACAAAAAATAGACTGCTCCTTTAAGGGACTGAAAAATAAAACAATACTACGTGTTGCATGCCTACTTTACCCTGGTGTAGAAAATACAAACTTCTACACAGAGCCCTGACAAGGGCCCTAATTACCAAGCCAATGAGCAAACTGGCTAAGTACATTAGTACTTCAGATGCAAGCTGTAAGCAAACTATCTTGTATAGTCAGCCTGGCTAATAACTATGTTTGAACTCTTTCATTCAATATAATAAATCTATTTTTGAAATAAGCATTGATGCATGTAAAAATATATGTATAGTCAAGTGAAATAAATGAAAGAGCTTTAAAACATGCTAAATATTTGCAACAACAATTATAAAGTTACTTAATTCATAGCAACATTCAAAAAATTTATTTATGTGTGTGCATACAATGCCTGCAGAGGCCAGAAGAGGGCATCAGAACCTCTGGAGCTAGGGTTATAGACAGTGGTAAGAGGCCTGAAGTGGGTGTTGGGAACCAAACTCAGATCCTCTTCAAGAACAACTCTAAACCACTGAGCCAGTTCTCCAGCCCTGTAACAAATTTTTAACTGGACCAAAAATTTTGTTTTGCTTTTCTTCTTTTTAGCAATCTTAAATTTCAAGGCAACAGAGGATGCCAAAAAATTCACTAAATGTGTATCATGTCACTACTGCGGAAACTGACTTGCTCCCTTTAGAGGCATCACTGCCTTGGACTGCATGAGGAGCTCTAGACTTCAGGAGGCCACACAAGTGCTGACTCAGTTCTGCCCCAGCCTATGCCACTGTTAGGACACTGGACACAAAAGTGACCAGAAGACTAACTTAACCTCTTTAAGCCTTATCTTTACATGTGTATAATGAAAGCATCAATTATGAGATCTTTTTCAGGCCCAAAAGTATACAATTTTAGAAAAATAAATCATAAAAAAAAATTATAAATCTTCTCTCCTTCAGTGGCCCCCGCCTGACTCACTCTCTCTCTCTTACTCACTCGCTCACACACACATACACCCTTTTTTTCACACACCCTTTTTATGGTGGAAATGACCAGCCTAACCCTTAGAGGAGGAGGCCTTTCCTACCTTAGCTGTGGTCTTGATATCTGTGATGTTTATAAACCACTGCTTACTGGCTCGAACCACCACAGGTTTTTTAGTTCTCCAGTCACAGGGATAGCTATGTACCACTTCCTCTTCTTTCAACAAATTCTTTGCAGTCTGAAGCATCTTTATAACTTAAAAAAAAAAATTCCCATTAGACATAGCTTAAAGGTGTTTTTTAAAAACTCACAGTGCTCGAGGCTTCTGGGAAGAACTGGCCCTGGCAGAGGTGCCAATAAAGGCAACCCTGGGCCTGTCCCAGTGTGGAGGTGGCAGAGCCACCAGTACCATGAAACCTGAATCAGACTCCAAACTGCTCCACTCCTAACTCCATGAAGACAGGAAGCCAATCCACAGCTGGAGGCTCCACCTGATGAGCTATCTGCAAAGCTTACTGAAAGAGTGGAGAATGCCTGATTCACAGGCAACAATGACCCAATCTCCATGTCTATCCCCTCACAAAAGCAACATGCTGATTATCTCTGTAACACCTCCCCACCAAAAAAACATTACTTCTGACAACTGTCTTGATTTACATAAACAATTAGACAATTTACATAAACAAAAAGATGGTAGGTAGGTCCAAAGCTTATTTTGAACCATGATTAGCCAAATGAGCTCTGTTCTGACTGGAAGCATAATAAGTGTCCAGGGCCCTGCTGTTGGTTCCTTCCAGAAACATACTGGGCTTTCAACAGATGACACCTACCCACATCTGTTCCCTCCTCAAGTACAGCCTTGTTCTGAAGTTCAGGGCCCGCAGCATCAGTGAACATCCCATCTTCATCCACCAAGCAGTCCTACAATGTACCATTTAGGAGAGTTAAAACATGGAGACATGTTACCTAATGGCAATCTATGATAACGCATTTAAAGCACCTCAGTGCACACTGCCTTTTCTCTATTTTATTTCTTCCTCAGTCAATAGAAATTCCTGAATTTTATATATTTAAACCACCAAAGACAAAATATATCATTAAAGCACCTACCTAAAGTTTAATACTGAAAAACACAAGTATTTTATAACACTTTTAACCGACCGGTCTGTCATTTACAGATCATTGGCTATACACAGCTCTTTGCTTGCACCCCTCTTAACCAAATGGTAAAGTGTAAAACAAGCTTAGGAGTTAAGAAAGAGCAAAACTTAACCATCCTTTCCAATTACTTAATGAAATCTACTGGCCTTTGCTTAGGGAGCGAAAGCAATGTGTTATCTGACTCAACATGCAGCCCAGATGTACCAGTTTGGTTTGAGACCACAGTGGAAAAAATGTGAGTGGCAGGAAAGCAACAGGCAAGCAGAGCCAATCCCATCAATTATTCAGCTTCCTAGTGCAAATAACAATTAGGCCTGTGCTAAGCTTGGACTAGGTTTGCCTAAGCAGCATGTTTTGAATGGATCTACCTCAATCATAAAACATTCTTTACTAAAAACTGTTAAGGATCATCTGGAGCTAAGCTGTTGGGAAAATGGTGCTGGCCTGTGTGGTGGCTCACAACCATCTGTAACTCCAGTTCCAGGGAATCTAACATATGGTATCCATGAGTACCAGGCACACACACGGTATACAGACACATATTCAGGCAAAAAAAATCCATACACATAAAATAAATTTTAAAAATTAGTGTTGGACTTGCTCAACACAGGTATGCCCCAAATCTTCGGTTAGTAAAAGATGCACACCTCCAAAGCACATTAAAGCGACACTCAATGAAATACTGTCTGTGTGTATTTACAAGTGAGTTCGGGTGAATGCATATTCTTCAGGTCTAATTCTGCGAACTCTTTCTTCATCTAGTATGGATTAATAATGATTTAGGATGTTACACAAATGTAATCATTTCACACTTTTAACTATGATGACCAAAATTGTTATTACCAAGAAACAAAGGTATTAGTTAAGAGCAATCATTTTCATTCTGCAATGCCAGTAATTAAAAGGAAGAAAGAGGAACAGTACCATAGGGAGGTTGTGCTGAGATGCTACGCTGTAATCTTCCATACCATGAGCTGGGGCTGTGTGAACCAATCCTGTTCCTTTGGCCATAGTCACGTGAGTGGCAGGTAAAAGAGGAGACCCTTTATCAGGAATTAAAGGGTGGCTACACGAACCACCTTCCAGATCCACACCTGCAGGTCAAGAAAACCATTAACAAGTGTCTGATGTGACGGGCTCGGTTCCAGCCAAGAGCCGAGTGGTTGAGCTTTCTCCCCATGCATGATGGCCTGGTCAACCTCCAGATATTTTAAAGAGTTGTTCTGTATGTTAATTTTATCTTATCAGCTTTGGCAAGATAACTTCAAATCTTTTTTTTTTTTTTTTTTGGTGAGACGCTCTCACAGAGCTCAGGCTAGTCTTAAGTCCACCAAACAGCTGAGGTGACCTCAACTACCTGATGCTCCTGCTTGCATCTCTCAGGCGCCAGGAAAACAGGCGAGCACCGACTGCTAGAATCTTTGTGTTCCTGTTCTGGGAATGAAACCCCAGGCCTGGCACATGTTAGCAAGTGCTCTGCCCCTGAGCTACTTAGATCTCTAACAGGATCAAACGCTGAGAATGAGACTGGCTGCACTCAGAACCCGCCTCCCCCCGAGTGCCGGTGGCCAGGAATCTATAGAATGCAGATAATTACAAGAGATGAGAGCACCAGTTAGGAGAGCACTGAGATGCCTTTGGAGCAGTTAAGCATTATACTGCCTCAGTATAAATGCATAAAAGCATTATCATTGTATCTGCTGTTGTCTAATACAGCAAAGACAAGATCAAACTGAATCAAAGAAAGTTTAACAAGGCCCTGTCTCAAAATGAAGATAAAAAGGAGTTGGGGTCTAACTCAGTGGCAATGTGCTTATGTAGTGTGCCTGGGGTATGGGTTCAAGACCTCAAAAAAACCAACCAACCAACCAACCAACCAACAAACAAACAAAAAAAAAACCAAAAAAACAAAAAAAGAACCCAGGCCAGGTCGTCTGGGTCCTCTAACTTACCTATTACCCCACAGAGGACCAATGGTCTTAAAAACTCCAGCTCCCTTCCTGCCTAGGCCCTTTTCATTCTGATAGGGCCGTATATTTACTCTTCTAATCACCTTATACAAAGCTGATCAATGCAACAGGGTTTTCTTCTTTAGCTAAAGCATTGTTCTATTTTTACAAATATATTTACTATAAGACTGCTTTTTAGCAAGCAACTCAAAAGGCATCATTATCTCTAAGAATGAAAATTTTAAATATCCTCAGACTTCCAGCTATATGAAATCAGTTATGACACTGAAGTCCTAAATTATTACTCATAAAAGATTCTTCTGATAGAAGCATTATCTTTGACACCAGGCATGGCGGCCCATGCCTTAGCCAGCACTTGAGAAGAAGAAGCAGGCAGATCTCTGTGAGCTAGTTTGAGGCCAGCCTGGTCTACAGAAGCCAGTTCCAGGCCAGCCAAGGCTACATAGTAAGAATGTCACAAACAAACAAATAAACAACATATTCTTCTTTATTTCTCTACCTAAAAACAAAGATGTCATATCTACTTCAACTCACAATGGGGAATATCCCAAAACTACAAATGCCAATCAACCCATCATTTTAATGACTAGCAGCTGGACAATATCCATAAATCCTCACCTGAAAACGTTGAAATAACTTCAAATGTTGTTTCCAGGGTAGAAGCAACAGCTGGTATCTTATCTTCAGCCAGGATGTAGATGGCTCCAGAAGTGGAACATTTCACAGCGGCATACCTGAGGAGGATGCTCAGAGTAAATCACCCGCGATGAAGAAAGCCCAGCCATAGTTCATTGACATCCCTTTAGAGGAACCTATGTCACTCTACTTCACCTGTTCCACATTCCCACACTAGCTGATAGGCCTTCAGGGATAGTCTGGACTACAGTGTAGCCTTATCAACTTAACTACAATGACAATTCACTAGATTTTAAAACAGCCATGAGAATGAAATAAATTTAACAGGAATCCTGTTCATAGATAAAATAAAAAGATAGGACAAACTACCTACTTTGCCTCTGGCATATAGCAAACAGCCTGATTGGCTGGAATTGTCCAAGGCTGGGTGGTCCAGACTAAAACACTAACAGGAGATGAGGCATCTGTGGGAATAACGTAGTAAATAGGTTAGCAAACATCACAACTCTACAATGTCAACAAACTCCAGCTTCAGATAAACCTACCTGTAAGAGATTCCAACTTAGGAGGAGGTTTTGAGAGAGGGAATCTTACGTATACCGACCGACTAACATGCTCAGGATTGTACTCAAGTTCGGCTTCAGCCAACGCAGTCCTAAGATTTTAAGATATCATACATAAACATGTGGAAGCTTTACAAATGTTTGCACCTTTTAACTACCAAAGAAAACATACCTTGATGAGGGAGACCAATACACTGGTTTATAAGATCGATAAACCAAGCCCTAGAAGAGACAAAGATAGAATATTTGTGCTGGTTGGTTTTTGTCAACTTGACACAAACTTCCATGTCTCTGGAAAGAGGGAATCTTAACTGAGAAAACTCCTTCGACCGGGCCATAGACAAACCTACAGGGCATTTTCTTGATTAACAGCCCAGTGTGGATGGGATCAATCAGGGGCAGGTGGCCCAGGGTTGTATCAGAAAATCAAGCTGAGCAAGCCACAGGGAGCCAGCTAAGCAGCACTCCTCCATGTCTCTGCTTCAGTTCCTGCCACAAAGTTGCTCCCCTGCTTGAACCCCTGTCTTACCTTCCCTCAATGATAAACTGTGATGGAGACGTGTAAACCAAATAAACCCTTTCCTTCCCAAGCTGCCTTTGGTCATGGTGTTTCATCACAAAAAAAGAAAACTACGACAATGCTGAGACTGAAGTTTTGTGACATGTGCTTTAACACACTAGAAAGAAAAAAAAATATTTCATTACCTTATCATACATTTGGTAAAATATCCTCAGCTGTTTGGCTTCATACTTTGCATCAAATGTATAATAGCAGTTATTCCAATCTGCCATTACTCCCCAACGAACAAACGCTGACTTCTGCTTTTCAATGGCTGCTTTAGCAAATGATCTAGCTAAAAAAGATAAGGGAAGAAAAAGAAAAAGCCTTTGAGAAACTCATGAGTTTTTCTTTCTTTCCTTTTTTTTTTTTGAAAGGTCTCTCCCACTATGTAACCTGGCTTGGCCTAAATTCACTACATAGCCTAAAGTGGCCTCAAACTCACAGTGATCCTCCTGCTTCAGAGTACCAAGTGATAATATTAGCAGTGTATGCCACTAAGCAGACTTTTTATATCCTTAAACATGACTTGCTATAGGTTTCTCTAAGTGAAGGTGCTATACACCGTTAGCCTAGAAACGTCCTTGTTGACCCAGGCTGGCCTCCAACACACTTTGTAGTGGTTTTTGATCCTGTCAAGGCAGGAGCACAGGAATGTGCCATCACTCCCAGAACATGCAATGCTAGGCAATGAACCTCAGCCATGCCAGGCAAGTACTCTTCCTATTGAGCTACATTCTCTGGCCTATAAAATACTCTTACCAGGAACAATTATTTGAAAGCATTCAAAGTATATAACAATTTATTATTATTATTAGCTGGAATTTTGCAGTAGTAGCACATACTTTAATCCCAGCACTTGAGGCCGAGTGAGGCAGATCTCTGAGTTTGAGGACAACGTGGTCTACGAAAGCAAGTTTCAGGACAGCCAGGGCTACACAGAGAAACCCTGCCTCAAAAAACAAACGAAATGAAACAAAACTAAAACCTGGGATTGTATTACTGCCTTTAGTATCTTCCAGGCTACGCATCTCATATTTAAAATAAACAAAGTGGGAAATATTCCCCATTATTTCTTATAATATATTAATAGTAGCAGTATTATAGTGTATGCATGTGTGTGTGTGTGTGATAAGCTTGTAACACAGGCATGTGGGTAGTCAGAGGTCAATTTCTGCCTTTCTGGTTGGGCTCTCCCCTTCACCATGGGCTCTGGAGATCAAGCTCAGGGGGTCAGGCACGACACATGCTTTTTCCCGCTGAGCTAGCTCGCCAGCCTTCCTCATTATTTATTAATACAAGAAACAGCCAGAGAATAATACTTATCTCATAATGAACTCCAAAAATCATTCAGGTATCAAATCTAAGTCAATGTGAATGTGTTTCAGAAGGAAGTAAAAAACACCTTCACATATCTGAGGCCTATATACCTAATATAATAGTATGATCAGAGAAAGAAGGAGCTCTCTGGCCTTACCTCCTGAAAAAAAAAATCAAATAAGGGATTAATTTAAATTCATGAGGTCTGGGTGGTTGTTTGGGGTGGTTGTTTGGTTTTCATAAGACCAAAGACTTGAAATGTAGGCTAGGTTGACCTCAAATTCATGATGTTCCTGCCTCAGCTGGGAGCAGTGGCACACACCTGTAATCCCAGCACTTGGGAGGCAGAGGCAGGTGCATCGCTGTGAGTTCAAGACCAGCCTGGTCTATGAAGTAAGTCCAAGACAGCAAAGGCTACACAGAGAAACACTGTCTTGAAAAAAAAACAAAAATAGTAAATAAATGAATAAATAAATAAATGATGCTCCTGCCTCAGATTCCTGCAGGCTGAGTTTTCAGACACGTGCTGCCATACCCAAATTTAAAATACATGTATTTTGGAACTGACTTCTAGTTCTGTACCTGATATTAGCCAGCAAGCTCTAACTGACAAAGGCTTGAAACAGCAATACAATAAAATGTAAACACTAAATGGAAAACACAACTAGAAACATACCAATAACTATTCCTCCACCCTCCAAAGAGAAAGTCTCACAAAAGTCAATTTCAAAAAAAAAATCTGAGACTATATGGACGTTCATGCCAATGAAGCTGTCATTCAGGAGGCTGAGGCAGAAGGATGGAGTTAAGAGCGTGAGGCCAACCTGGGATAAACAAGTATATTAACAGGTGTCAGTGTGAACAAAGCAGAGGCCCTTTGGCAGAGCCTGGTTAATAGGAGGCTGAGTGCTCACTGTCATTTTTAAATGGGAAGAGTTTACCTTTCTCTCTGATTTCCATGGCTGTCAGGGTCTGAGCGTTTACACCTAGCTCTGACAGCACTTTTGTTTCAATGGGCAACCCATGGCAATCCCAGCCAGGCACAAAATGCACTTTGGAACCTCTCATCATATGGTATCGATTGGCAATGTCTTTCAAAATCTGCAGGGATAAAAGTGTAGTCAACATCCAGAAAACACACAGCTCATTCATTTGACTCTTTCTAAAAACACCATTTTAAAGCATAAAGTCTAACTTTAAAGTATTTCTATAAAATACCTATTAAATCTACTAATTAATGTGCAACATTCACACAGAAATAACAAATATCTGAATTTCACAATATTAATGCTATAAAGGAGGAAAAAAAAAACAAACAAGAGGCTTATACATGAAAATCATTATGCCCCAAATTTCATTATTGGTCAAGATGGAGGAAGAGTGTTATCAGGTTTTTTGTTTGTTTGTTTGTTTTTCAAAACAGGGGGTTTTTTTATAACCACCCTGGCTGTCCTGGAACTCCCTTTGTAGACCATGCTGGCACCACCACGTCCAGCTTCCATTCTACCTTTTAAAGAGACCTTCTAAATTCCAAAATATAAATAAGTCAGTTAGAACTGTTTATTATGCTAATGAAAAAATTAACATAAACAATGAAATATAAGTTGCTCACACTTCCTGAGAAGTGTTGACTCCCGCAGAACTGACACTGCAGCCAGCAGATGGAATCTCATGCTCACTGTTTTATACTAATAAGGCCCTGAGTAAGCAGCAGGCACATCAGTACCTAGGTTACCCTTCTTAGACCACTTGATATGAACAGATAGAAAGACTTAAAAATGTACCACCAGCTAGGCCCATAGCTTCTATGGAGGCCACAGACTAAAGTAGAAGGACCCCAAGCTTAAGGTGAGAGTGACATCAAGGCTAGCTTAAATAACTGAGATCTTGTTTCAAAACAAAAAATAAAGAGGACTTGGAATGTGGCTCAGCAGTAGAGCACTTCTCTAGCCCCATGATTCTATCCCAGCATGGATAAGAGAAAAACTGTTACAGAACGGAAGATCAAAGGCAAAGGGCAGATTTAGCTACAGACCATCATCCTTCTTTCCAGGAGCAAGCACTGGTCTGACCACTAACCCAGTAGTCCAGGAAGTGATTTCCTCCTCTCTACTCCTATCAGAAGCAGAGAAGATACCATCCACGCCTCTTCGCCCTTCCTCCAAACAACTCTAGCTTTTAAACTTCTCACTGAAGAACGGGAGGCAGCCTGTGGTCACACAGGAAAGCTCATCCTGCTCTACGTAGGATTTGAACTCTCAATGCATCAAAGTAAGCCACCTCCTTTCTCCTGCTCTGTCTGGAGACTTTCATTACCTGTCTCTTGTAAAACTCGATCTCCATGAATCAGAACTGCCATGTTCTGTCTGCTGGTGAATTCACAGCCCTCACACTGATGTCTCTCACTGTCCTATAAATACTACCAGCAGCTCTAGGCTGTGTCTCACAAAGTGGCCACTAATCAGAAGCAACTTTTGGTGGGAGTCTGGACTAAGATGGGCTGTAAATATACACCTGATACCAGAGTTCAAACATTTAAAACTTAAAAATGTCTTATGGCCACTACAGTTGAGATGTTTTAGATTTGTTGGGCTATATATAACATTACAAATAGCTTCACTTATCCTTTTGACTACCTTTTTTGTGTGTATGTGGCTACTCTAAACTCCAATTTACCTATGTAAACCACATTCTGGGTTATCAACTTCCTCAAGAATTAGTGCTACTTTCAAGACTATGAGCAGAATGAACTCAGCCGCCTGAGCCAAAAATCAAGTCAGCTTAGTAAGAATCTCACACGAAATGAAAACAGGTACAAACAGGTGCAGACGTGCAAGGACATGCACGAACAGCAGAACTCGGAACCACTTTACCGACTGCTCTGCTAGGTAACAAGGCTAGCGCCTTCCCCTCTCCAAGTTGCTCCAATTTGTGTGCTTTTTTCACTGCTAATTTTTTTTTTTTTTTTTAGTTTGTTTGCTTGCTTTTTGTTATTTTCATTTTTTAAGGCAAGGTATTTAGCACAGGCTGGCTTTGAATTCATGATCCTCCTGCCTCTGCCTCTCTAGTGCTAGAATGACAGGCATGTGCCATCATGTGTTACCACAAGTTACTCCATATGCCAATGTAAGTGTACGTAATTATCATACAAATAGAATATGCTCTTTTGCAGAGTATTTACTTCCAAGTTTTATAACCTAAGTTATAATTACCTTGTTCAAAGCATGCCCAACATGCGGGTCGCCATTTGCATAAGGAGGTCCATCATGAAGGCAAAATTCCGTCTTTACTTTTCTTTCTCTTTGCCAGGAATAAAGCTCTGAAAATCCACATTTCTGTTTTTAAAGAAAAGCCAATGTTTATGTATCATATAAATACATGCTGTAGACTCCTATCAATACTTGGTTATCATTTATCCCATTCCAATCCATTCAGCTCACAAATATAACTGGAAACATTCCTGGAATGAAACAGACTTCTCTCCACACTTTTCAGTAGTCTTCCCCAACCCCAATAACGCTTCAGATTAAAGTCTAAAACTTTTACCTGGCCTAGGGGCTCTAAATACTGGCAAGTCTCTCAGCATCCACTGCCTCGATCCAGCCCTGCTGAAGGACCTGTCCATTTCCAGCTCTCCCTACCACCCAAAACACATTGGTAAGTTTTTCTTGCTATTCTTTGGCTTCAATACTTTCCTAAATCCAAAGAATATTCAAGCTAACTCTATTCACTTAAGCACTATTTCTGAGTACAAGGACTATATTAAATACTCTAGCGTGTATTTGGTGTAAGTTATCATTATAGACACTAACAGGTGAATCTAAGTCATTAGCAAATTCAGTATGATACGGGAGACGGAGATACTCAGAAAAGCACCTCTACTTTGTTCTTCAAAAGGAGCCATAATTCCAGTGAAAGCCCTAAACATGCAACTAATGTGGCTTTCAATTTCCCTTCTTTGCTAACACTTAATTATTTTTTAAGTTTAGCGTTTATTTTTTACTGTTTGTGCGAGATGCATGTGAGTGCAGGTGACTGGAGAGGTCAGAGGCAATGGATCTCCTGGAGCAGGAGTTACGGGAGTTTGTGAACTGCCAGAATTGTGTGCTGGGATGTGAGCTCATATCCTCAGCAAGAGGAGCAAATGTTCTTAACTGAGGAGCCATCTCTCCAGTCCACACATGGTACACGCTGCTTACTTTCTGACAAGTGACTGGAAAAGTGTGCAAAGGCGACTCGCTGGGTGCCAAAATCCGAACCCGCACTGTGTGGCACCAGGCTTCATTTGGGGCCCGCCCCCTAGGGGCCCGCCTGGGAACCCCTGCTGCCCGGAAGGTTCCCGCAGAGCTGACCCACTCCGCCCTGCCCGGGTGGCCGCGCCCAGTACCTGCTGGATCTCCAGCTCCATGTCCCGCTGCTGATGGCCCAGCAGCTTCATCGGGAAGCTGGTCTGCGGCAGCAGCACGGTGTCGCGGTATCTGCCGCTATTCGGGCTGCTCTGGGGACTACCTGCCCCTGCCACTGACCGCACCGCGAGCCTCCCTGTCATCCCCAGACACCCTAGGCGGCCCGGAAAGTGGGCTGGCCCCCAGAAGCTCCCGGCCGCAGCCAGGGCTGCCGCCCTGGGCCCGCGAGGACGCAGACCCCGAAGCATGGTGGGCGAGCCGGGCGTCCCGCCCGCGGCAGCCGCCCGGGATCTAAAAGAAGGGACCCCTAAGAACTCAGCCGCGTAGTACTGCGCACGCGCCCCGGGGAGGAAGGGGCGGGACAGAGCGAGGACCGGGGCGGGGTTTTCCGGGTGGGAGGGCTGCGCCACTCTCGGTCTTCCCCGGGATCATGCAGGGGTTGAGAGAGAAGGATCCGCTAACGGTCGGCTCTCCCTAACCAGATAGGTTTAATTAACTTGTCCGGGGTCAAAAACAGAGTAGCGAGCCTGACCTCGGCGGTGGTGGCGCAGCTCTGTGTTGTCTGTTCGAATGACAGCATTTGGAATGCAGTTGTAAAGGGCGTGTGTTGTGGACGTTCTTATCACACACGAAAGGTGTGCCTGAATTCAGAGAAAATAAAGTGCAAGTCTTTTCCAAACATAGCTGGATGTAAACGGTATACGTTGACATTTCTCGCTGGTGATAACAGGGTTGCCAGATTGTTTGTTTGTTTTTAATCCCAGTACATGAAAAGCTGAGGTAGAAGGATTACCATAAATTCGAAGCCAGCCTGATGACTGTAACATTATATATATGAATAATTTATGGTTTGCTTCTAATAACTAAGGTTTGAGAGTTGTAGAAAACACGTAGAAAGGAACAAAACTTGTTTATTATCATCTTCATAAAGTGATACGAGATTTTAAGGGGGAAAAAAGTGTTGCTTTTATGAAAACAATCCCATAAAGGCAACTCATCAAAACCCAAAGCCGAGCCAGGTGTGCCGCGAGTGCAGGCGCAGCTATGATGTGTGGCTCAAGGCTAACCCTGAGTCAGGAAACAAAACAAGCCAAAACTGTTGCAGAGCTGAAGCTAGGACGCCCGGAACCAGTACCCTGGAACTTCTAGCGATTGGCGGCTTTGACGTAAACCTGCGCAAAACGCTCAGAACCGGCTTTTCCCCAACTGCCAGAGGCGCCGGGGAGCTTGTTGTGCGCCTGCGCCGACTTCCCGGTAGCGCAGCCGCGGTTGTGCCCTGCACGTTGGACCGGTGGACTTGGAGGGAGCCGGCACCGGGACGGCGAGCAACCTGGCCGAACAGCGCTTTGGGGACACGAGGCGGGCTGAGTGTAAGTGTCTCCCCCAGCAGGGCGTAGCCTCAGGTGGCCCCAGTGTCTTGGTCCTGTAACTGCTTGCCCTGGTGCAGATCAGAACAGAGCCAGGGGTTGTGATCCCAAGCGCCCTGTGGGAACACTGCCTCTAGTTCAGACGCATCTTGAAGCATAGTGGCCACGTGTGGTTGTTTATCTGGACCTTTTCTTTCATGATGGAATAAGCTGCAAGATTAAACTTGACTTTCGCTTCTTACTGCGTCCAAATTTGGAAACTTCGTAATAGCAAATATTGTTTCAGTTGTCATTTCTCCATATTAGTAGGCCGTTGTGATTTGGTTTTCCCCAGTACTATAATAGCTGCATCGAACGGTTTATACATTTTGTTTTTGTTCGCGGCCTCCAGTAGGAACGCGTTTCCTCACTCCTTGCATACTGGGCAAATGCCTGCATGTGCCAATCTTAGTCACTTCTGGGGCTCTAAGTTTGCGTTTCTTTTATGTACGATAGATTGAGTGATCAGCACTTTTCTTTTTCTGGAAACTACTTGTCAGTGTACTTGCTTTATTTTTCATACTGAGGCGTAAGAGCCCCAAACAAAACAGCGCAGTTATTAGTATATGGTTGCGACTTTCCCTCCCCTTTTCTAAGTTATTACTTTGCTTTGTTTATGGCATTTTGGTCACGTAGAAGTCTTAATTTCTGTGTAAATTTGTTGATACATTGTTAATGACTTCTTAGTTTTACGTTTTAAAGGCCTATACAAGTTTATAAAACCATTCCTATAATTTTTGTTGTTTCATTCTTAATTAAAATCTATTAAAGAGACAGATTGACAGAGAAAAACAAGCTTAGGCTGGCTTCAAACCCAAGATACTCTTGCCTCAGCCTCCTGAATTTTGGGATTATAGGAGAATGCTACCACTCAGGACTACCTGGAACGTCATAAACAGACAAAAACATTTAGTGTGTGCACACATGTGTGTATCTGTGTGTATTTTATATACATATATATATGTACATATATACATATATATACACATATATACATATATATATATATATACACATATATATACAACTTTTTTGGAATTTAGAGTATTTTGTTTAGGGTATGTGTGTGCATGCATGGGTGTTTGGAGAAAGTACCCGACTTGGTCACCAAGACTAGCCTGAAACTTACTCCATACCTAAGGCTGGCATGTTACTCCCAAGCTCCAGACTCAGCTTCCTAAGTGCAAGCACTAGAAGCAAGATCACCACACCTATGTGATTACTATGTTTTGATAACTTGTAATAAGGAGATCTCTATTAAGAATTTGCTCCATCATGCTCATTTTTATCTTTCCAAATACCTTGAACTTGAGCACTTTCACCAGGTTCCAAAGATAAATTATTTTAATGCTTTTACTGGGAACATATCAGTTTTAATCCTAGTCTGCATGCTCACCATATTTATGTGAATTAAAGATGAAGCACAATAAAACATGGATTTATTGTTTGCTTGGTTGGTTGGTTTGCTTTTGGGTTTTCTGTTTTTGTTTTGTTGGGGTTCTGTTTGGCAGGGAGGAAAGGGGTTGCCCTTAATCCTTAAGGCTGTGAGAAGAAACTGGTCATTTGAGCCTTGCTGCTTTTCTTCCTGTTGCTGTTCTGTTTTTGGTTGTTTCTAAGGCAGTCTCTTACTGTGTACACCTAGCTGCCCTGGCACTTGGTTTCTAGTCCAGGCTATTCTCATTTTTTTTAGCAGTTTTCTTAGTAGCCAGCCTTCAGAGTGGTGAGATTACAGGCACCACCACCATTCCCGCAGTGTTACTCTCCATCCTTCTGAAGTAGCTGGCAGGCATTATAAACGTTGGATTGAAGCAGACCCCAAAACATTTTCAAGCATGGGATTTGGGTTGTCTTTTTATTCAGCTTTTTTTAGTATTTACTTTAAGGCTCAAGCTAGAAAGAATTTGTTTCCCATCAGTCACCGTGTTACCTCCCAAGGGTCAGAATATTCTGCTGTATTTTTCCTCACCAGTGAGTAAGGAGCAACTTAGAGAGAAGGTGTTTATTTTGGCTCATGTTTTCAGGGGCACACAGGCCATCATGGTAGGAAAGACATTGCAGCTGGGACTCCATTCTTGGTGGTAGAAGCTTGTGTGTGACTTCTTACATTTTGGTCAATCTGGAAGCAGAGAACTGGAACAGAAAAAGGGGCAGTGTCAGTGCTGGGATAATGAAGCCTTAAAGCCCACCATCTAGCTATCCCTTTCCTCTAACTAGGCTCAGCCTCGCTTCTACCCACAGTGTCCTAAAACATCACCAGCACTTGGTGAGTAAGTATTCATTCATGCAGACACATGAGCCCATGGGAGATGTTTACATGCAAACCATTGACACTTCCAAAAGGTATTTTGTGCTTTTTTTAACCTGTGCGCCTGTGTGTGGATATGTATGTACTCATGAGTACAAGTGCCATGGAGGCCAGAAGAGAATAAATATCTGATCCCTTGGAGCTGGAGTTACAAATATTTGTAAGAGCCCCACATGGATTCAGGGATCTGACCGCTAGGCTTCTCTAAAACAGCGTATGCTCCTAACCATTGAGCCATCTCTCCAGCCCTTACCTTTCTTTTTAACACTCCTCTGTGTACCCCTGTTGAACAGGAAACCACTGAAATGTGTTTAGCCAGTGTTGTCCGATGCTTGTCTGTAGTGTAGGGTCAAGTGCCTTCCATGTAGGACTTACTTAATAATTACAACAACCCTGTATTTTTTTTTTCCAATTTATGAGTTCAAGGATTGAGAGTTCAAATAGCTTTAAGTCTACAGCTAATGTATGCCTGGATATGGACATAGAGAGTTGATTCCAGAGTCTGTCTTTAGCTTTTTTGTCTAAGCTTTTGAAAGGTCATGTTTCCATGAAGTAGTACTTCAAGTAAGACTCATAAAGAAAGATGGGTGTTTGTTATTTGAGCTGCTATAAGGAAATTACGTAGTTTTAGCCATGTTCTTAGCCACCTGTCACTTCAAAAGATAATTCCCACTTAGGTTCCCTGGGAAGACAGGCAGAGTGGAAAGACCAGTAAGAATCTCTTTTACATATTTAGTGTTTTGATAATATTTTCTTCTTTATACCAAGAATCAAAATTGTATATAGTTCCTTAAAAACTATGGTAAGGAAACTACTAGGGCCAGGAGAGGTTCTGTTCTTATGTCTTCCAAACTGATGTTCTCACTAAATTGTGGCTCATAAACATAGTGTGCATTTGTTAAGGAAGGTGCTGAGCAGGCAGCTTGGAAATGTTCTGTTGGAAGAAGAAAATGCTGCATATATGTGGCAAGCTTAAGAGGAAGTAGATTAATCATGCCCAAAGCCTGACAGGGCTCAAATGATTCCGGAATTGGCTCAAGGGTAAATGATGCTTATGGAGAGTTATAGTGTGAGAAAATCACTTCTCAGTCACCACTCCCACAAGTTCAACTCTCCTGGGTTTAACTCCGTAAGCATACTGAGGGCTGAGTGTAGTTCAGTGAGTAAGAACTTGCCTGGGGACCTCAGGTGTGATTTCCCAGCATCCCCTCCCAGGGGCTGGGTAGGGTTAGCAACACAAAACTACTTTCTAGTACAAAGTACATTGGATATATGGCTGCTCAGAGATAGAAATGTTGGGGTAAGGCCAACGAAATGGTAAATTATTACTTCTGGATTTTATTTCTGGTGTTCCTGAGTCGGTTGATAATGATCATGACTTACTTTATTCTACCTGCAACACCTAGTATGTAAAGAAAATCAATATGGCTTGAATACAATAATACAAAAAAACCACATGCATACCCATTTTATGTCGATCCTAACTCCAGACAGCTGTTGATCACAGGTGGTTTTCAGTAGTGCACATCAGTCAATTACATCATATCTCTCCCTTTTTAAAAAAGATTTACAAGCCAAGTGGTGGTGGCACGCACCTTTAATCCTAGCACTCAGGAGGAAGAAGCAGGCGGATCTCTGAGTCCAAGGCCAGCCTGGTCTACAGAATGAGCCAGGAAAGCCAAGGCTACACAGAGAAACCCTATCTCGAAAAAAAAAAATCATTGTCTTATGTCTATGAGTGTTCAGCCTTCATGTAAGCCAGTAAGTCAGTGTGCTGATGCGTGCCTGGTGCCTGCAGATGATGAAAGATAATCTAACCTGCTAGAGTTACAGATGGTTGTAAGCTGCTATGTGGGAGCTGGGAGCTAAACCCAGGTCCTCTGTGAGAGTAGCTGGTGCTCTTACTCACATGGCTGACTCTCCAGCCCCCTAGCCCCACACACTTGTATACTACCCATTTGTGGTTTTAATTCTTGTGATTAGATCAGAGGCAACAGAAAAGGATGCAAGTGGATTTCAAGGTGTGCCGAGTCAGTTACTCAGAAATTTGCAAAGGAACAAATGGTTTCTTTGTCCTTTATTTATGATCCCTGTGGATAAAGAATAATTATGTGCTCCTTGACAGAAGTAATGTTACTTGATTTTGAGTTGAGAGAGCTTTGTTTGTCTTGAGTTTTAAAGGGTTTTTGTTGTTGTCTTTGAAAAATGTATGTTTATTTAGCCAGGCTGACCTAGAACTTGTTCTATAGCCCAGGCTGGTCTCCATCTTCAGATCCTCCTGCCTCAGCTTTCTGAGTGCTAGGATTTCATATAGGTCTAGGCCAGTAGTTGGGTCTTGTTTTTGTGCTTTGCTGTGATGGGGATTGAACCCAATGCTTTGCGTGTACTCTACCTTTGGACTGCGTCTCCAGCCTGAGAGTTTTTGCCTTAGGCTGGTTCCCCATAAGCCCTTGGAGACAGAAGTACAGTGCAGCAGTCTTTCTAGGGAATGTTGTCGAAATCATTTGTAGAGGGAAAGGAAGGAAATGGAAGAGAAGAAACCAGGCTGGGATACAGTGTCCACTAACACCTCAGTTGGCCCAGTGGAGTAACCCTTCAGAGTACCCTAATCTTTCTTTTGAAGCCAGGCGTGGTGGCATGTAAGTGCTCAGGAGGTGAGGCCAGCCTGGGCTACATAGTGAGACTGTCACATAAACAGACTGAGTGGAGAGGCCCAGCACTCAGGAGGCAGGGGCAGGTGGATCTCTCTGAATTCAAAGCTACCTGGTCTACACAGGGAGCTAATCCCCTCCCCCCGGGCTACATAGTTGCAATTACTTGCAGTTGGGGCTTTTTGCTTATTTTGGTTTTCATTGGTTCATTTTAAACAGTGCCAGGGTTTGCACACAGGGCCTTGAATTTGCTGGGCTACAAGGCACGCGCTTTACCCCTGAGCTACCATCCAGTTCCTCTTCCAGTTTACCCTGTGTGATCTCAAGTCCCTTCCGAAGCTCACCATCCTCTTGCCCTTACCAGCTGTAGTGTGCAAAACATCAGCGCATCAAGGGCAGTTGTTAGATAGGATATTTTTTAGCTCCTAAGACTTCCACTTTCCATGTTACACACCCCACACTGGAAACTTCTTCACCTGCCGAGTTCATTTCTCCAGGCTTTGAATTCTTTGTTGACTACAAGAGTTATAGGGTTTGAGAGAGTTAATTCCAAAATTGTGTCTTTTCCAAGCCTCTTTTAGTGTATATTTAAAGAACCTGTGCAGTCAATTGAGGCAACCCCAGTTAACACGCGTTGGCCTGAATTCAGTTCACTGAAACTGGTGGCTGGTCTCTAATGGAGCAAAACCTTTCTGTCCTTTCCCTCAGAGCCTCTCATCATGGCTTCCAGCCACACCGTGTTGATGCGGCTGGTGGCGTCAGCGTATTCTATCGCCCAGAAGGCAGGAACCATAGTGCGGTGTGTCATCGCTGAAGGGGACCTGGGCATCGTGCAGAAGGTACTGCCAGTCCTGTCAGTTTCTGCAGTCATAGTTCTTGTCATATTCTGGACCAACTAACAAGTAAGATAGTAGAGATTGCAAAATCCTCAGCTTGGACATCTGCTTTGAAAATAACTCCACACTTCATCCAAGAGCTTTGTGTATGTGCCTGTGCCTTCTGACTGAAGTTTACCTCCAGAACAGATCCTAATCTATTTCCATACTTAGAACTTGTGACATGTTTGTGAAAACCTGATATTTAGATAACTATTTCTCTTTTTTGTAACTTTTTATTGGTCCTTTGTGAATTTCCCATCATGCACCTCAATCCCACTTATCTCCCCTTTACCTCGTACCCACCTTCCATCCTTGCAACCTCCCCTCACAACAGAGAAAAAGAAATTTTGTTGTGGAAGCTGTAATGTGTCAGAGTGTGTCCCATAGTGTACCCTTTTGCCCTCACTTCTCAACTTGCAGATGTTCATTGCAGTGAGTCATTGGTCTGGCCCGAGGCCTCTGGCTTCTGCTACACTGTCAATACAGGAACCTCACTGGGACTCCTCTCAGCTAGCCTGTTGTTGCCCTGTGCCATGGAGGTCCTGCAGCTTTGGATCTGTCGGCTCAGCCCTTTCATGAACTCCAGCAGTTCATGAATGGAGTAGATGTTGGGATCTGAGCTGGTAGCCTGCCAGCTCTCCTGCACCCACGCCACCAGGTTGAGCTCTTATGCCCCACCCCAGCTGGCCCATCCATGCCCATACTGTCAGAGCCAGCTCTACTGTACTGCCCAAGCTAGGGTCAGGGCCACTCTCCCAAGTGCTGCAGCAAGCAAGAGACAGGACCCGTTCTTTCAGTCTCATGACCCCAGGCCCTGCTGCCTGCTGTAGGGGACAGGGGACAGGATTGGGGAGCGCATCTCTCTCATCCATGTCCCCACATGGCAGACATGTTGTGGGGCCAGGTCTCCTATGTCAGGTCTCCTCACACTGTCAGGGCCTGCTCACCTGCACGCTTGCCACCAGGGTCAGTGCTGCTGTGCTACCCAGGTAATGTGTTAGAAAAAGGCCACATAGTGGTGCCTCGCACCCATCGTCCCAGCACTTGGGAGATGAAAGAAAGGTTCAGACATTCAAGGACAGCCTTGGCTATATAGTGAGTTCAGTGCAACCTGAGTTTTATAAAACCCTGCCTCAACCCCACCTCCACTCCACCTCCACCCCACCTCCATTCTCACCCACCCCAAAAGTGGAAATTCTTTCTAGTATATTAATGAATCTCCTTCAGGACTTCTTGAGTTACAAGGATGAGTGAGCCAGGCAGTGGCAGCTCATGCTTGGGAGGCAGAGGCAGGCTGATCTCTGTGAGTTCGAGGCCAGCCTGTTCTATAGAATGAGTTCCAGGACAGCCAAGGCTACACAGAGAAAAACCCTGTCTTGAAAACAAAAAAAAAAGTGAGGGACATTATAGAGAAAGCTCTTTATACACTGGTAGTACAGTTTTAGCTTCGCTTTGAAACAATATAAATTTGTTGTTGTTTGGGTTTTGAGACAGGATCTTGTGCTGTTCTGGCTGGCCTAGAACTCACTATGTAGACTGGACTGGCACAGGACTTTTGGGGCCTGGCCTGGAAATCACCGTGTAGACCAGGCTGGCCTAGGACTTCTGGTGAACCTGCTGCTTCTGCTTTTCAAGTATGGAAAGTGTATAGCACCACACTGGTAGTTTCCTGTCTCATAGCTTGTTTAAAGCAAGTTGGTGTCTAGAGTTTAATAAAAGAATTTCTCAACTTGAGAAAAAAATATTCCAAATAATTTAGAAGCACCTTTGAGCTCTTGAACCACTATGGACCTGGGAATGTCGCTCGGTGGTGTGCTTAGCATGTGCCAGGTATCTCCATCAGCACGCACACACACACCCTGCGTTTCTAAACGGCTTGTTTCTTGCATGCGGTTTCACACTGTAGTGCAAGCTTACCTCAAATATATGGCAGTCCTCCTGCCTCAGCTTCCCGAGTGCTGAGAGTACAGCCATGCAGTACCACTGGCTTCACTTCCCAGTCCTAAGTCATTGTGAAGTTAAAATCTGGAAGTGTAGTGTAAATGATGTGGCTGCTGTGCCCTTGGGAGTCGAAAGACAAACTCTCAAGTTGTGTTTCTACTGAGATTTGCATCCTTCGTTACAGACCTCAGCCACAGACCTGCAGACCAAAGCAGACCGCTTGGTGCAGATGAGCATCTGCTCTTCCCTGGCACGGAAATTCCCCAAGCTGACAATCATAGGGGAGGAGGTAAGAGTTACCATGCCATGGAGCTTGACCGCTGATGTGCTGTCATATCGTGGTTACAGTCTTAGCACTGGAGCTAGTGTTTGAACACAGAGGCGATCACATTCCTTAGAGGAAATAATCTGATTTTACAATGTTTTGGTGCCCTTTTAGGCTAATTCTCCATTCTCAGTGATGGGAGACGTGGTCACCATTGTAGTGAACATGCAGCTTTAAACCCATCAGAGACGCGCGGTGGTAGAACATTGCCCACTGTGTGTGAGGCCGTGACGGGGAGGGTGTCTCAGTAGTAAGACCATGTGGCGCACATGTGTGAGGCCCTGAGGTTGAGCATCAAAAGTTAAATTTTAAGAGTCAGTACAGTTCTAGAACTTTGAGATAGACTGGGGTTTTGGGTTGTTTCTTGTCCTTCATTTCAGAAATTATTAGACTTGCATACTTCTAACTGAAACAATAGCGTGTGTTTTGTTTTTTATTAAGTAAGGTCTTTTACAATTTAGTACATGCATATAATGCATTCTGGTTACTCACACCCCATACTCTTGGATTTTCCTCCTGTTCCTTTGTACACCTCCACTCCTTTCTTGTCTCTTTCCAAATTCGTGACATTTGCTTTTATTTTGTGTCCCATTTAGTCTAACCAGCACCACTTGTGTGACTGCTTGATTGGGACTCGCTGTGACGGACCCGTGCTCTCTCAGAGCCAGTGCAGTGATCTGTAGTTGTTGCAAGTTTGTGATTGCTGTGGCTATTACCCCAACGATGACATTTTGCAGCCCATTTCCCGTGTTCCAACTCTTACCTTCTTTCTGCCTCCATCTCTGCAAAGCTTGGTGGACCTTAGAGAGCATGGTATAAATGAGAGCTGAGCAGTCAACTGGAACTTTGTCTTATTACGCAGCCATATAGCTCTCCCTTCATCCTAGTTCACTAGAAAGAGAATCTTCTCTGATTATGTGGGATGAGTAGTTTGACACTGTGTGAATTTAGTAAAGCTGTAAAATTTAATTCCCCAATAAGGCATATGACCTCCCTTTTTTTACACTCTCAGACACTGGGGATCTTTAAAGTACTAGGCCTGGATTTCCCCCAGTGAAGCAGACCTGAAATTCAATCAAGAGTGGCTAGGTACCTCCCTTAACAGTCATGCCACCATTGTACAAATGGACACAACTTGTCCTGACACATAAATACTGTAACTTGTAGGGTTCACATCTGGGTAATACTTTCTTCTCCACCAGCCTGCACAGTACCTTCTAGCACTCTGAAAGCTGGCCAGCAGAGAGACTGTTTCCACATCATTTCTAGCTTGGTTTCTCTGTATTATGCAACCAAAGTGTGCGTGTCATCAGCAGTAAGGTCTTATCATCCAATTCTAGTGTGCAGCCAAGAAAAATGACAAGTGCCTGTATTGCTTTAGGGGCCACAAGGACCTCCATGACCAGCTTATAAGGAGATACCACCCATACAGCATTGGGGTGTTTCATGAACCATAGTTTCAAGCTTAATGAAACCATACAGTTTCTAGCCGTGTCTGGAATCTCCCTCCAACTTTTAGAAAGTCCATTCCAGCTGTTGGCAATAACCAGATGAGTTTGTTCTCATTAGTGAGACGTGGCACCTTTGGGTATGCCCAAGACTGAAGATGCTGAGCCATATGGTAGTTCTGTGTCTAGTGCTTTGAGGAATCTCCACACGGTTTCCATATTAGCTGCATTAGCTTACACTCCCACCACCGGTGAATAAATTCCTTTCTTTCTACATCCTCACAGCATTTATGATCTTTTGACCCCCCTCCCCATCCCCTACCCCTAAGACAGGGTTTCTCTGTGTAGTCCTGGACTCCTTTTGTAGACCAGCCAGGCTGGCCTTGAACTCACAGCAATCTGCCTGCCTCTGCATCCCAGAGTGCCAGGATTACAGGCCTGGATCCTCTGGAAGAGCAGCATTGTTCTTACCTACTTTAGCCAGCTCTCTAGCCCCTGGAGTAGATTTTTGTTCATGGCAAGAGAGAAGGGTCAAGTTTCATTCTTCCGCATATAGACATCCATTTTTCCTAGCACCAGTTTTTGAAGATGCTTTCTTCCAGTGTGTATTTTTGGTGTCAAAAATCAGGTGGCTGTAATTGTATGACATGTTAGTCTGGGGTTGCCACTCTGTTGCTTTGAGTTACATGTCTGTTTTGCTGTTAGCAACCCCCCCCCCTTTATTTTTACTACAGTTCTGTAGTATAATTTGAGACCAGATATGGTGATGCCTCTAGCATTGTCATTTTGCTGTCTGGGGCCTTTTGTGTTTCCATTTGAGTTTTAAGATTTTTTTTTTTTTTTTTGTCTCTTTCTATAAAGAAAATCATGGTGATCTTGATAGGGATTGCATTGAGTCTATATATTGCTTTTGCTTGGATGGTCATTTTTACATCATAAATTCTACCTATCCATGAGCATGGGAGGCCTTTAATCTACTAGTCTCTGCCTTGATTTCTTTCTTCTGAGTTTTTTGTATTTTGAGACAGAGTCTCACTATATAGTCTTGGTTGGCCAGAACTCAGTTTGTAGACCAGACTGGCCTCAAACTCACGGAGATCTGTCTGTCTCTGCTTCCTGTGTGCTGGGGTTAAAGGCATGTGCCACTGAGCCTGGGACTCTTTCATTTTAAAGTTTTTATTGTAGAGGTTCCCCACCTTGCTTCAGTCTCCTCTGAGCTATTTTGTTTGTTAAGGCATCTGTAAATGAGATTGTTACCCTGATTTCTTCTTCAGTTTGTTTGCCTTTGATGTAAAAAGCACATCGTGTTTGTATCCTGACACCTTGCAGAAAACATTGGTAATTCCAGGAGATTTCTGGTGGAGTCTTTAGCGTCTCCTGTGACGATTGTCGTATCCTCTGCCGCCTTCTTCAGCCCTGGTTATGTTCCTTCCACTTCTTGTTCTTACTGCTCTAGCTAAGACTGAAATGCCATATTCCCTGTCTTCTTCCTAATTTTGCTGTTGGTGTTTGTTGACAGGGTCTTATTATATAGCCCAGGCTGGCCTTGGGCTCTTCCTGCTTCCGCCAGTCAGGAGCTGGGACCACAGGTATACTGGGCTCCATAAAAAGGGTTTTTTAAATGTTTGTTTTTCTCCTCACTTGAATTGCCCTTTTGTGGTGCTGGGGATCACACCCAGGTGCATGCTGGGCAACTGCTAAACTGAACTGCATCCCAAGCCTCCTAGAGTGACACCTAGGTTCATATCCACCGCCTTAGTCTCCCAGCATTCCAAGGGAAATTGGGAAACAAGTGTGGAAAGGAAAATGGATTTCTTTACAAATTTAGGTAAACAGAGAGGAGAAAAAGGCTCTGGGTTCCTTCTAGATACTCCTGAATCAGGGTTTAAATGACCCAGCGGTGAGGTTGTTATCAGAACTAGAGAATTTCTGTGAGAAGGCTGTTCTAGGCTCCCACACTACCAGCTCAGGGTGGAAGCTCTGGGGAAATTCTAACTCCTCACTTCATCTCTTCCAGCTCCTGCTAGTGTTACGTTAGGTTTGCCATAAAAGCTCTAAGCATAAGAGGTAAAGGGAAGTGGCTAGGAACCCAGTTGCTGCATTTCCTGTTAGGGACACAATACATTGTGGGAATAAATGGCTTTAGCAGTGTCACCTTGTCTCTGCTTCAGGAACTGCCTCCTGGGGAAGTGGATCAAGAGCTGATTGAAGACGGACAATGGGAGGAGATCCTGAAGCAACCTTGTCCATCGCAGTACAGTGCTATTAAGGAGGAAGACGTAAGGTCCATCTTTATGCTTTTTACTCTCTAAGTCTGTGTCTGTTGCCACTGTGATGGAAATACAATTTGTCCATAGAGGGAAAGTGTGTGGTTACAAAATAGGAGCAGTCAAGCACTGAGTCTTTCAGAGCTGGCGGAAGCAGCAGGGATCACGTGGACACATGACCGACCCTCAGCGCACTGTCTTCTGTGGTCCTCCCCTACCTTCAGAGACCATTGTTAACAGCCGTTTCAGTGAGGGTCTTCCTGTGCTCAGTAGATCTGGAAACAAAGCATTGTGTGGCCGATGGGGCTGGTTGTCCTGGAAACCATGGATGTCTTCTCACGTGGCTGGAGAGGTGGGTTAGCAGCTCAGAGCACTGGCTGCTTGTGGTGAGGATCCCGGTTTAGGCGGCCTGGAGCTCCAGCTCCGGGGATCCTGGTTTTAAATTAATCAACATTACACTTATGGAATAATTACTAGGCGGAAGAAATTCTGTTCTGTGGGAAGAAGGATAAAAAGATAACAAATTCCCACCCAGTGTGCTGGGAGCGTGCAGGGGACATTTTGAGTCACGTGGAAAGTCCTAAGCAGGAGGGATTTCTTCTTTAGTGGCCACCTTATGAGCAGTTCCATTTTCCTAGGTTACTGTGACTTATGCCCTTAAGGTAATCAAACCTTTTATTTATGTTTTGCATCAGCACATGCAGGCCAGGCCTGGTGGTGCACGCTTTAATCCCAGCACTAGAGAGGCAGGTGGAGCTGTGAGTTTGAGCCCAGCCCAATCTACGTAGAGGGGTCCAGGACAAACAGGGCTATGTAGAGATACCCTGTCTTAAAACTCCACAAAATGATGGTAATAATTCAGCACACACATATAAATGAGTTAATATAACTATTAACATTGTTAAATAGTCTCAGTGCCTTGTGGAAATTTTTCCCAGTAGCGCCATCTAGAGCTAATTTAGTTCATTGTGCTCAGTGTTCAAGTGACTGCGGACATTTATCAGCTAAGTCTTGTGAAACATGGCAAGGGTTCTTAAAGCAGCCTTTTGTTTAAATGGACTTACTCCATGATTAAGAAGCTTTTTGTTTGTTTGTTTTTACAATCAGGAAATGACGTTGGCTTAAGCCTTCCATGAGAACATGTTCAAGCATCTTTAGAAGGAGGGCTTTTAATCACTGTAACTCTGAATTCTACAAACTTCACATTTCCTCTTTTTCTTTTGTTCATTCTTCTGCAGCTTGTGGTTTGGGTTGACCCCTTAGACGGCACCAAGGAGTACACTGAAGGTCAGTATCGCTCATCCACGTGTGCAGCGCTGGGGCGAGGCTGGGGCGAGGCTGGGGCGCACTGATGTGCTGCTCCTGTGTCAGATGAAAAGCTGCCCCTTGTCACACGTGAGTAGCAACTAGAGGAGGTCCTCTTCAGATGCCACCCCACGTGCTCTGCCAGCTCCGGTTCTAAGGTCCCACGTGGGGAATAGATGGCTGTAATACTTCTTAGCTGAGAGAAATGCTCCACGCACCCTGGTCCCACAGCACCCCCACTCTCCCCTTACCACACAGGGTAAGCCAACGTGGGCACAGCCTCACCGACACCAGCTGATGGCTGGTGTTTCTCTCTGTACTGTAACTCTTAATCTTCCAGGCTGGTAGCCTTGCTATTTAAGGCTCTCTCTATATATACAATTTAATTCTATATGTGCGGTTAACTCTGCATACACTTTAACGCTCAGGGTCTGCTGGTCATAAGAGCCTCTAAAGGAAATGACAGCAGAATATCTTAATCAGTCAAGCCAGGTGGCTCCTTTAACTCAGAGTACAAGTGGCCGCAGCCATGATAGTTTCTTGCTGTAAATACAAGGGGTTGTAAAAAGAAAAACCTTAGTGCCTTTTACTTAATGACAGCTCAGCAGTGAACAGCAGATCGCTGGAAGGTAGGGTCCTAAGTAAGAAGGCCAATAAAACAATATAGACTGCTTATCACTTGCTAAACTTAATAACTTAGAAACACGCAAAAATGTACACATTTGGCAGACAGAGGCAGGTATTTACAAACCTCACACACACATGTACACATACAATCAATAAATAAAACAAGGGAGCTCCCAAAGGTACCATTCATCCACATATATGTAAACGTACAGATATGAATATGCATATATACATACATATATACAGACAATTAGACAGACACATTTTTGGATGAAGCAGATGGCCTCAACTTTAAGTCTGTCTTGGATTTTTATACTCTCTAATACAAAGGTTCTCTATATATGAAGAAATTATATCATTCAAAAAATAGGTACAATCATTACATAAAAGGGGAGTTACAGTAGGACTATTTATCCTAATATCTAACTAAATACTCAATTTATTTTAAATTTGAAGCAGTGGTTTTATCTATATGCTCTTATAAGTTCAAAGCAGAAGTTTTATCGTTTCATTTCAAATGTACATTATGTGTTCAAAGCAAGTTTTTATGTCAAGGTTTTTCTAAGAAACAGTTGTCTTATCTTGCATAGCTAATCGTTTGTTCTTTGTTTCTATACTCATATGGTCTTTCTTAATTGTGGTGCACACCTGGGCCGTATCCTTGGACTAAACCTAGAATGAATGTATTTTCTTGATTATTTGTTTCAATCTTGTTTTCTCTCTTGGTGTAAATCAGATGTTTGACATAGGTTCGTAGAGCTCCTAGCAGTTTTTGTTATACTGCAGGGGGGTTTTTTTAATTACTTGAATCAAGTCAGACATTCTTTCAAATCATCATCAGAGGTTATGAAATCATCTATTTGTTTAAACAGCACCATGTCATTAAGGTACATCTTCAAAATAACCTGCAGGAAATCTGCCTAACGTAGTGAAGCAATTAGCAGCGAGGGTCTCTGCCATGCCAGATATATGAGACACACATGGAAAGGCAGTATAGCAGCAATAAGCAGTCTTGAGGCAAAATCCTTGGGGCCTTGCCTATAGGAGGGATACAGCCAGTCATCAGATGGGCTGCCTCCAGCTCGCTTGCTTACTTCTGCCAATCCAGGATTCAATTGCTCCCGATTCTCCCCTTATCTCACTCTCAAAGTGACCCTTCACTGTCCCCTTGTCTGAGGTTATCATGGATAAGAAAAGCCACAAAGCAGAGACATAAAAGTCAGGGGGAGCTGTGTGATAGCTCACACCTGTGATCTCAGCACACTGAGGCAAGGGGACTGCTCTGAGTTTGAGGCCAGCTTGAGCGAGGTACGTGGTGAGTCCTGGGTCAGCCTGGGCTACAGTGAGACCATGTCTAGACAAAGCAAAGCAAGCGAGTCAGAAGAACCATAGTCCCAGAGCTGGACTTAGGGTTTTTAAAGCCGGGAGTTGTATTTTTGAAATAAAGATATACATTGAGAACTTGTGATAAGGCGGGAAGACTGAGGTCAGCCTGGCCTTCATGGTGAGTTCTGGGGCAGAGCAAGACTGTCTCAAAGCAGCAGCAGCAGACCTTGCCCCAGGAAAACATCCATAAGTTTACCTTTGTTGGTTCCCAGCTCTGTGGGTATTTTTATAACTGCCAGAGGAAGTCTTGGATGAGACAGAACAATAGTGACTGAATATATATGTCAGTCTAGTCTGTCAGTGTGTGTGTGTGTGTGTGTGTGTGTGTGTGTGTGTGTGTGTGTAACAGGAATACATTCTGTGTGAGGGTGTGTGTGACAGTACATGGCAGTATTTGAGTGTATTTGTCATGTGTAAGTACTGTGTGAGTATGTCTGTGTGTGGAATGTGTATACATACTGTGTGAGTGTGTGTGTTGTGTGTCAGGCATATCGAAAGTGTGTATGTGAATGTGTGTAAGATGTGAGTATGAACTTTGTGAGTGTGAGGATATCTATTAGAGTGTATGTGTGAGAGTCAGCGTGTTTGTGTGTGTGTACGTATTCACATCTGTGGCACACATATACTCAATGTGTGTCTGTGTAAGTATGGCCCAAGCATATGTACTCTACAGAGTACACATATGTACTCTGCGTTTGTGTTTGTGTGTGAGAGAAACACACATATGTGTACTGAGAACAGGAAGTCCACCCTAGAGCTTTGATTAACCAAAGCTGGGATGTCTGCCTGTTACTGCGTGATCCGGTATCTCGTGATGATCCCCAGTCCACACTGAAATGCCTGCCAGAGGCGGGGAGCTAAGTGTGGGGAGGAACTCGGGAGTAGTCTGCTCCGGCAGGCAGAGCACACTGGATGAGGTAGAAGGAGCAGGGGGAATCTAGTAATGGCTGCTGTGGCTTTCATGGGTTTGCAAACTACTAAGGAGAGTGGAGTCTGGGTTACTGACTCCGTTTGGTGGCTGTGATCCCCTGTCCCTGCCCAGCTCTCTTAGAGCTATTTGCCTCGAGTGGAGTTGTCTGTGGGTGAATCACTACAAACCCCACACCTCCACTGCAGAAGGAGCTAGCAGTCAGGCGTGGTGCCCACGTCCTTAATCCCAGCGCTCTGGAGGTGGAGAGGGGTGGATCTCTGATTTACAGAGCAAGTTTCAGGACAGACGGGGCTACACAGAGAAAATATGTGCCTGCAGAAACCAAAAAATAAAATAATAATAGTAATAATGAGAGTAGCAGTTGTTTGTTTGACTTACTAGTGGCACACGGCAACATGAGAGAGTGACATACTTATTCTTCTTCGTAGGTTTACTTGACAATGTAACAGTTCTCATTGGGATTGCTTATGAAGGAAAGGCCATTGCAGGCATCATCAACCAGCCATATTACAACTACCAGGTACTGCCTCCAATGACACAAAAGTATTAGATATAGAATTAGAGTGTCCAGTGAGTCCAAATGCCATCCAGTCCAGCCGTTACCTCGCCCATTTGCACAACCAGGGACTTCGAGTGAGGCTTCCCAGGCTACCATTCACCTATTGAGCTAGAATTTTCTGAGGGTATTGGGGCCAGGAATGTAGATGTGGGTAATGGACTGAGTGCATTGTACTTTTTATATATTTATGATTCAATTGCAATAGTTTGGAAATGTCCCATTTGGCTCTTGATTACTCTGGTCATTAAGACACCTGGCTTACAGCTAGTTCTTAAAGCACTTTGCAAAAACAATCATGTCAGCAAGGAATAGATGCTTGCCATGTTGCTTCTCATTTACTGCTGCTGCGCAGGGCCCAAGCCACCGTCAGGGCCCAAGCCACCGTCAGTACAGTTAGCCCGCTAACGATGCGCATTGCCCCTTCCTCTGACTCTTTCTTCCAACCTGCTTTGACTTCCTGCTGTACTTGAAAGACACTGTCCCCTTTAAAAACAAGAGACCAGTATAATCTCAGAGCAAGACTATATCATTAAATTTTAAAGAAAGTACTGAAATAAAATATTTAGAGTTTTCATATTAGTGTGAATTTGATGGACTTTGGAAAACAAACGGACCAGAGTGGAGCCTATCACTTCTGAATGTCCTATTCGACAGCAGGCTTCATATATGTTTAGGTGTAATGCAAACTTGTTAATTCCTGCTGCATATATGATTAGAAATTATAATGTATTTCTTGGGTTTTCCCAGAGTGGCTCTGCGTTGTTAGGCGAGTCAGACTTACAGTGTGCCTCTACTCTCTGCACAGTGGTACACTTGGACACAGGTGTGTGATTTTAACAGTATTTCTTAAAAGAAGGGTACTTAATTCATAGAAAAAGAGTTGTGCATGGCCCCTTTTATCTAAGCTAGAGATGTTAAATACTTACGAATTGTTAATGATTTTCATCCCTTATTTCTGAGACTAGAAAACTTGTATTCATTTTCCACAGAACAATGAAAAGGAGAAGTTCAGGGAGCACAGGAATGAAGCAGAGGTGAGACACAGCTAGCGTTTGGTTCCAGTCCTAGGGAGGAAAGAGGCAGGCACTGTGGCATCCGGACACGTGGTGCACCGGTTCATTCCTCCTGTCGTGAGCCTCTTCTTTCTTCCCCCTGTGCTATGTTCTCTTCACCCTCTGTGCCCTCTGTGTGTGCCCTCAAGTGTGTTGCGGCAAGTAGACATGGGAAGGCTGGCTGCTGCCGTTGTCCGGGGCTGAAGATGCAGTCATCGTCGTGGCTGAAGCTTACCTGCTCCCTCTGTGCTACCAGGGATTCACAAGTGTTAGCTCTTGTAACACTCACTACACGGCTGTCCACGTTAAAGAAAAGGATACTAACTGGCCTGGCGATGCAGGTCTCTGCTCTCAAATACTGAGGAGGCTGGGGCCAGAATATTGCAAGTTGAAGGGAGTCCTGGGCTACCAACGGAGCTCAAGACCAGCCAGCCACTAAGGGAGACTGTCACAAAAGAAAAAGTAAAATGGGTGAGGATGCAGCTCTGGTTGAGTGCCTGTCTGGCAAGTACGAGGCCCTGGGTTCGATTCCTAGAATGAACACACAGGTGCACCCGCACACACACACACATGAAGGGGGGAAACTGAAGCACTGAATGTGTCCATGTCAAGCTGGGTAAACAGCAGAGCTGGGGTTCAAAATGAGTTCCAAACCAAGAGAGTTTTATTCTCTCTTGCTCTGAACAGCTGAAAGTTTACTTTTGATTCTAGTAAGTGCTAACTGAAGACAGCATGAACTCCATCTGTCTTTGTGTTGGAGCCGGCTTCTTAACCACAGTCACCTGGAAGGACGAGTGCCAGCCTTCCTGCGGAACCTTTCCAAGAAAGAGCAGAGGGCAGCTGAGATCATGAGCCCTGGGGAAGGCCAACTGGCCTCACATGGGATTGCATTAAGGGCACTGGGATCCTTAGGCCAGTCTCTTGTCTTGGAAGACACTCGTAGAGGGAGTGAACTCTTTTGGAAATTAGCTCTCATTTTGTTTCCCATGCTGGCCTGGAATTCACTATGTTGCCCAGGCTTGACTGAATTCATAATTCTCTTGCCTCTACTTCCCATATGCTGAATTAAAGGCAAAAGCCTCATGAACATCTAGAGGTACCATCTAGCCAGAGGGAACGTTCCAGATTCCAGGTGTGCACCATAGTCAGGGGGCAAGAGAGGGTGCGCACTGACATTCTAAGCAGCTGATGGTTGGCTTTGGCTCCTCTGTTGCCCCATGGCAGGAGGCAGAGTCAGTAATCAGCCTCCTCGGGGAAAGCCTCCCCTCTGCAGAGCCTTCCTACCCCAGTCTGTTTTCCATGACCAGGAAGTGCAGGTGTATAAAGGCGTTTCCTTTTCATCTGGGGCCACTCTGAAGAGCTCTAGTGTTCCCCACAGTCGCAGCAGAAGCTGCTGCTTAGCAGCCCAGCAGCCCACATCTGCTCTGCCCACACCATTCCCTTCTACTGGGCTGATCCTGCACACACCTTGCCAAACATCCCCCTGCCCCAGACCCTGCTTCCCAAGGCACACAGCCGGACGCATAAGCCTGTTTCCCCCTGCAAGCACCAGTGTGCTTCTCAGGAGACACAGAAACGGTGCCTTTGAAAACATTTGGACATGTCGGCTCCGGTTGCCCAGTGTCCACTCTGATGAACACAGCAGCACTAACCCACCGCTTCAGAGGCTGAGGCCCACATGGTACACGTACATACATACAGTCAAACACTCATACACATCACTTAAAGCTAAGTTTCTGAGGCCAGCCTCAGGTAAGCTGTGGCTGCATAGAGACCATGTCTCCAAAACCAACATGAAACAAAAAGAGCTTTGAACCCAGATGTGTGCTCAGTCAGTTTATTGACTATTCCAGGCCTCATGGTTAAGGATAACAGTATCTGCTTGAGGGCTGCTTTGAAGATCAGCAAGGCTAATGCCTGAAGAACTTAGTGTGGTCCTGATGCATCCTTGCGGAGTGAATCCCATGCCTGTTCTCACTACACCTCCCAGGCTAATGTGATACTGTATTGAGTTTGGACTTTCTGTGTTAGCGTCAAGTTTACTTGTCCTAAATATGTTCTCTCCGTGAAATACCTATCTAGCAATGTGGTTGGAAAGTCTTTGAGCTCCTCAAGGGAAAATACGGATTTTAAGATTGTGTTGTCATTGTCACTCTATCAGAGCAATTATCAATAAAATCCTAGCCCTGTCTCCACTGTCCACGGCCTTCTTCAGCAACAGCCTGTGGTTGCTCTGTCCCTGTGGCAGCAAAATACAGCCTCACTTAGGTAACACAGTTCCTATTGTCCCTTGAATAATGAAAGCAGTGATCACTTCCTGGAACTTCAGTGTCTTTTTAAAAATGCTATTTTCAGCAGTTTAACAGATAGATCCGTGGATGATTCCAAAAGAAACAGTAATCAGAGTATAAAGGTCACTTTCCTGATGACAACAGTGTTCCCTTTTTTTTTTTTTTTTTTTGAAATTTGACAAAAGCAGTAATGAGGATAATCAAATTATTATCAGGATAAATTATTTGTCTATTTACTGTCTTCATATCGTATAACATTGGATGTTTTTAACTTTTGAAACTAAAAAAAAAAAAAAAATGTCCTGTGTTGCAAACTTGGTAACTTCAACTAAGTGTACCTGACTTCCTGTTCCCTTTGTGGCTGACATCTTTCCCCAGTGACGGTGAGCTTTGTTGTCATCTCACACAGGCAGGACCTGACGCTGTGCTGGGCAGGACCATCTGGGGAGTTCTGGGTTTGGGTGCCTTTGGGTTTCAGCTGAAAGAAGCGCCTGCTGGGAAGCACATTATCACCACCACCAGATCCCACAACAACAAGCTGGTCACAGACTGCATTACAGCCATGAACCCCGACAACGTGCTGCGAGTAGGGGGAGCAGGAAACAAGGTACAGAAAGCACGTGCCATTGGCTCTGAAGTCTACTGTCATTGAAGGAAATGCTGAGCTTATAAAATGTGAAATAAACTGAGCCTGTGGTACAGGCCTGTCATCGCAGCTCCCCAGGAAGCTGAAGCAGGAGGATTACAGGTTAAAGCCTGCCTGGGCAACTTAGTGAGGCCCTGTCCCACAAAAGTGCTGGGAACGGAGCTCAATGGCAGGGCATTTGCCTAGCATAATTGAGGCTCTGAGTTCCATCTCTAGTACACACGTGCATGTGTGTGCATACATACAGTGCAATAAAAGTGTGAAAGATAAGGTTAAGTATTACATAGTTTGGCACTGGTATCACATTTAAAATTACAGAAATGTAAAGGTACAAGAGGTTAAGGTATATGTCAGTTGTACAACACAAATTTAGCATGAATAAGACCCTGGATTGGAACCAAGCATGGCAAAAAGAAGAAGAAGGAAAAAGTTTAAGATTCAGCCTTTTTCATACAGGATACTAGCCCGTATTGCTTGCTAGTAGTTTAGCTCTCAAGAGCCTTCCTGGATTCTTTCTAGACCTTCCTTCTATAAACGCTGATGTGTGCCTGCCTGTGCCCTTTCTGCTACTCCCCCATTCCTTTAGCCAGGCCTCTAGCCTCTTCAGAACATCATGGAATGCAACACAGTTTGACCTACTCCCCAGCCTTGATCTCCTCAATGTCATTGCACCCTTGATATCATCCTGGTGACATCGCTCAGCAGCCTCAACACTCCTCACAACCAGCTGGGGCTCCTCATCCTTCCACTTGCACCCCACATGCTACCTGAGTGATGCCACCATTTTCATAACTGTTCCAGCAGATACCCAGTCACCTTCCTTCTGTATACCCCAACAACCTGGCTCTACCTGCTTACATAACATTATCCTTCCTGATATCTCTCCTTTCTCCTGTCATCATCCTTCAGAGTACTGCTGTAGCCTCCTCCAAATGCTCTTTCTAGTCAGTCCAGTCTGCACATATCCCAGGAAGATAGTTAAATGCAAAAGGCCTTCATTCCTGGCACCAGGGAGATGGAGACAGGAATAACAGGAGTTCTAGATTGTCGTTGGCTATAAATCAAGTTTGAGTACAGTCTGAGCTATGGGAGTTTCTGTCTCAAAGAAACCAAGTAATACCATTAATAATAATGGTTCGTAATTGAGTAGTGGAAAGAGCAGTAGATAAGAGTTCTGAAGTCCCTGGAAGCTCTTGCTGGCCTGGTCAGCGCCACACACCCACTAGGCTGTTGTGGTGCTGTTGAATATTTCTCTATTACTTAGTGATAGTCATTTTTTTCGAAATTTAAAAACAGTACTTGTCCAGTAGTGACTATGTATTTCCTTTACAGTCAGAAAAACCATGTGAATAAGAAAACTTAATCCAACTTGAACTGTGGATGGCAGCTTAATTGATCCTGTTTTTCCCCTTTAGATTACTATATTATTGTATATTATTATATACTATATTATGTATATTATTATGCACCAGTTTTATTTCCTTACAATACTGATATTACTTCACCTGTCGCACACTTAAGTCTGACAGGAAGTGTTGAAATGCCTTTAGTAAGCACAAGCAGTTTTTCTTGCTGGCAGCTCAGTCATTACATGGTAGGGGTAATTGTTACTTTTAACCTTACAGATTATCCAGCTGATTGAAGGCAAAGCCTCTGCTTATGTATTTGCTAGTCCTGGATGTAAGAAATGGGATACTTGTGCCCCGGAAGTGATCTTACATGCTGTGGGAGGTTAGTCCATTTTATCTTGGAGAATTATGGCTTTTATATTGTACTCAGGCATTATATTTCAGCAATATTCTCTCCTTTTGTGATTTTATTTGTATGTGGGTTTTGTCTTGCATGTATGTCTCTATACCACATGCATGGCTGGTGCTCTTGGAGGCTAGAAAAGGGTTTTGAATCATCTAGAACTAGAGTTACAGACAGCCTCCTTGTGGTTACTAGCAATCAAACTGATATCCTCTGGGAGATTAGCCCATGAATGCTTTTAATTGCTGAACCATCTATTCAGCCTTCAAGTAAAATTCTTTACCTAGATTCCTACAGTGCAAACATTGGAGGAAAGCCTAGAAATGATTCCATCCAAGCTCATCATTCTTACATCAGCAAGGAAATTTTCCAAAGAATTTAACTTTCAGTTTTTAGCCTTTGGGAAGAGTGGATTTTCATCTTCATACAGTTAATTTAACCCTTATTTTGTTGTTGCTCCATTTGTTTATTTCATTAGGACAAGGTCTCACTGTATCTCTGGCTGGCCTGGAGTTCCATTTGTAACCCATGCTCAGAAATTCAGGGAACTTTCTACTTTTCCAGAGAACATTAATTTAATTCCTAGCACCTACATCTATCTGATGGTTCATGTTACCTGTAATTCTAGCTTCGAGATGCCTTCATTTGACTTTTGCTGTTGTATTTGTGTGTGACCCTTTCTTTAAAAATTAGACAAATGATGGGGATGGAGGTATAGCTTGGAGGTAGAACACTGGGTAGCATGTATGAGGCCCCAGTTCTCTGTCAGCTTGACACAAGCTGGAGTCATCTGAAAGGAGGGAACCTCAGTTTAGAAAATGCCTCCATAAAATTGGGTTATAGGCAAGCCTGTGGGGCATTTTTTACATTAGCGATTGATGGGGAAGGATCCATTGAGGGCCATGCCATCCCTGGGCTAGTGGTCCTGGGTTCTCTAGAAAAGCAGGCTGAGCAAGCCAAGAGGACCAAGCCAGTAAGCAGCACTTCTCCATGGCTCCTGCCTCCAGGTTCCTGCCTGGTTTGAGTTTCCCTTGGCTTCCCTCAGTGGACTGTAATCTGGGATAAGTAAGTCAGATAAACCCTTTCCTTCCCAAGTTGCTTTTGGTCTTGGTGTTTCATCATAGCAGTAGTAACCCTGACTAAGACAGACAGATGGGCAGACAGACAGACAAAATATTTTGGGAAGTGCGCTTTATAATAAGAGAAATTTTACCAAGATATTCAACTGCATATCCGGAGAGATGGCTCAGAAGTTAAGAGCACTGGCTGTTCTTTTAAAGGTATTGTGTTCAATTCCCAGCAATCACATAGTGACTCATACCTGTCTGTAATAAGATATAGTGCCCTCTTCTGGTGCGCAGGTACAAATGCAAGCAGGATACTGTATAAATAATAAATAATAAAGAGCACTGGCTGTTCTTGCAGAAGACTCAGGTTCAGATCCCAGTGTCCACATAAGTGGCTGCCAACCATCTGTAATTCCAATTCCAGTGGATCTGGTGCCCTCATCCGACCTCCAAGGACACTAGGCACTCATGTGGTACATAGTATACACATGCAGCTAAAATACTATACACATAAAATAAATCCTTTTTTTTCTAATGATGTTTTTTAAAAAAGAAGATGTACAACTTGAGAGCATAGGGCCATTGCTCAGTGGCAGGGCTCATATGGCATATGGGAGGCACTTGGTTCAGTCGCAAGTTCCAAAAACAGGAGGGAAGCAACAGGCTATTGGGCCAGAACTCCTGAGGTACAGGCAAGGTCACTACAAATTCTGGGCTAGCCAGGGCTGTAGAGTAAGGTTTTTCTTTTTTAAGTCAAACCTGAACGACTTAGACTTTTTCTCAAAAAATAAGAGAAGAATTATGACATATAACTGAGGAATTCTGAGTACTGTACAAGTTCCAGAGTCTGTCAAAAGTGTCCTCGTTACCTGAAAGAGTGTTTCAGTCCTTACGGAGGAGGTTCTCAAAGTAACATCTTAGGGCTGATTAACTAAGTGAGTAATTAGAGTGTCAGCTGCATTCATCGTTAACCAAAATAAATAAATAAATAAATAAAATAAAAAGAGGGCTGGGGACGGAGCTCCATGGTCAAGTGCTTGCATGCTGTACATGAAAGCAGTGGTTTAATCTCCAGCAGACATTCTGCAGTCACTTAGGATTAACTGGAGTGGTTTAGACATAGTTCAGTAGTAAGGCATATGCTTAGCGTGAACCTGGGTACTCAGTACTCGGTGAGCTCGGTACTCCCCAGTCTTGTCCCCCAAAGCGAAACCCTTGAGATGTCCTGATCCAGCTACCCATTAACTTCATGTGATGTTTTCTGCAGGGAAGTTGACAGACATCCATGGGAATGCCCTGCAGTACAACAAGGAGGTGAAGCACATGAACTCTGCAGGAGTCCTGGCTGCGCTGCGAAATTATGAGTACTATGCCAGCCGAGTCCCAGAGTCCGTCAAGAGTGCGCTCATCCCGTGAAGGAGACCTTCGCGCGCTCACCGAGGGCTGAAACTAACTGATGAGAGCGCCAGCTGCGTTCATCATTGACCAGTGGATTATATCAGGGTTCAGGGATAGAAAGTGGGATTAAGGAATTTCCCTTTAGGTAGTCTGATAATCTCATGACTTAGGCATATAATACACTTTAGTTGTTGTTTCTTCTCCCTGAAAAACATTTGCCAGGTGTGGGTATGCTTGCAGTAGCCATAGCTCTTCCAGTGGTTGAGCTAGGAGGATTGCTGAAAACCAAGGCCTCAAGACCAGCCTCCACTACACAGCAAGACACGGCCTAAAATGAAGAAAAACAAAAAGGGAATTTACATGGATTAATTAGCTAACCAGATCAAATTGTGTTGATATTTGGATAATTTTTTAAATTTTGATGTCTTAAGTGGTCTTGCTGGCTTTTGGTTAGTTGGTTGGTTGGTTTTTTGTTTTGTTTTGTTTTGTTTTGTTAGTGTTGCCTGGGTTTTGTTGGGTTTTGTTTGGTTGTTTGGTTGGTTGGTTGGTTGGTTGGTTGGTTTTTCAAGAGACGGTTTCTTCTGTTTAGCTCTGGCCATCCTAGAACTCAGTCTGAGGCCAGGCTGGCCTTGAACTCAGAGAGCCCCCTGCCTCTGCCTCCCAAGTGGTAGAATTGAAGGTGTGCAACACCACTCTTGGCTGTTTTTTAAGAGGAGAAAGGAAAAGGGTTAGTTCTAAACTGCTGTCTAGGTCATTTGTAAAATCAACATTCCTGCTTATAAACAAGATTTCTTCAGGGCACAGAATCTTAACTTGTTCCAGAATTTCAGTTTTGTTTTTCACAGTAATGTTTAAAATTTCTGACTCCAACTAAGAATGCATATAATGATATTATTTATGTTGATAGGTTTATGGGGAAAGTTTCTTTAAAATATTTAGTTATATATCTTCATATTATATATCAGATTTTTTCAGAAGTATTTGAAAATTATGAATACTGTGGGGATTAATTTATTCTCATCATCATTAAAGTCATAATTTGAATGTTGGGTAATTTTCTTGTTCCTTCCACTTAGAGAATGTAGCACTCATTAGCTTGATGGTGACCTTGAGTAGACTGAGAAGCCTACCTGCATCACGAAACAGGGTCCCAGAAAGGATGAACTAAGCTGGAAGATCAGCCATAAGTGTGGTGCCCAGAAGGAATGAAAGAGGAAGGAGAAAGCCAAGGGTCACAGTTGTTTTCCCTGCCTGGCTGCCATGAGGTGGGCTGCTCTTTCCACCTGCCCTCCTTGCAGCCTCTCCCCTGCCCCCAGACCGCCTTGAAATCTTCCCCTCAGGCACTTGTCAACAGCAATGCCAAAGCCTTCTTTAAATGTAATGTCTGTGTTAATTCATTCAGGCAAAGGTTGTATTTTGATCATAATCACCACTCCCTCCCACAAACACACACTCTTCCTATATCTCCTCCCAGATCCATCCCCACCTCTCACCATTTCCCACCCTCTTGTCCTTTAACAACTACCATGCCCACTTTATGCTGCCCTGGTTCTCTCTGGTATGCGGTCATCCACTGGAGTGTGGTCAGCCTACCAGAGGCTACACCCCTAAAGCGCTTGCATCCCCAGAAGCCTTCCACTGTCAGTGCTTCTGATCCCCTCCCCTACCATGCCAGAATGTGGACTGGCTTGAACTTGGGGTCTCAGGCAGCCGCAAACTGCTGTGAGCTCTTGAGAGCAGGGCTCCTGTTTGGTCCTGACACTCCCTAACTCTGGCCCTTATACATAGCATCCTACTCTGACATTGCATATACATACATTTTTCATGTTTTTTGTTTGTTTGTTTTTTTCCATTCTGGATATTGAACCCAGGGCCTTGTATATTCTAGTTTGATGCTCTTCCAACCAAGCTATATCCCCACTCCTGGCTTTTTTTTTTTTTTTTTTTTTTTACTGTTTTGGTCTCTACCCATTCCTTCAATAAAATTTCTGGTTTTGAGTTAAACAAGTAGAATGCACACTCAGTATGTTTAAGGCTCTGGGTTTTATCACTAGAGCAGCAGTTCCCAAAACAACTGCATAACAGAATTGCCTGAGAAATTTTTTCATCACACTAATTGAGGCTGAGCATGTTGATACACCTATGATTGCAGCAATGTAGGAAGCCAATACAGGAAGATGAATCCAAAACCAGTGTAAGCAATGCAGAAAGGCATTGTTCTTTCAAAATAAATAAATAGTGGGGGCTGGAAAGATGGGTCACTGCTTTAATAGCCTCTATTGCTCTTTTGGAGGACCTGGATTTGGTTCCCAGCACACAGTAGGCATCCTGCTATGTCATGTGACACCAGTCCCAGGGGGTTTGACGCGCTCCCCTTCTGGCACCTGCACGCATGGTGTGCACACACTCATGCAAAAACTAACAGTAAACATACTTTATGCTCTTCTTGGGCCTTTCATAGTCACCTTGTTGTAGGACTCCCTGGAATTATACCCAGGGCTTTGTACAGGACTGTCAGAATCTAATAGCAGGAAGGCGTGTCTGTGGCTTTGATAGATTTGACTGCTCCCTCTTGTAACCCCTGTAACTCTCGTCCTGACGTCCTTTCTCCCCCTTCTACCTACTTCCACTCAGTCATCTTACTTTCTACTTACCCTTCTTCCCTCATAAGCCGCTGCTGGCTGAGAGCCCAGTCTCTCAGGAGACTATCCGATCCCTCCAGCCCATCTCAGTGCTTATGCTTGATTCAGGATGCTGAAGACTGTTTGAGACCAACTCTGGCAAAAGTGAAACCCTGTCTCAAACTAACAACAGCAAACACAAAATGTCTATTTGTATCAGAATTCTCCAACTCTGAGCCTAGTCTGGTGGTACACACCTGTAATCCCGGCACACCAGAGTCGGAGGCAGGAGGATCCTGACCTTGAAACACTGTCTGCTCCTCCCGAGGTCCTGAGTTCAATTCTTGGCAATCACATGGTGGCTCACACCCATCTATACTGGGATCTGATGCCCTCTTCTGGCATGTAGGTGAGCATGCAGATAAAGCACTCATACATAAAAAAAAAAATAAGCCCCTTAAAAAAAATTGTCTCAAGCATACAACAAAACGTTCACAGACTATTCCTCCACACCTAAGGCCTATTTTGATGCCTTGAAGCTTGCCCCGAGTTATTTCTAAACAGTTCCTCGGTCTTGCTCACACCCTTATTTACAGAGCCACATGTTGATCCTGATAGTTGGCAATGTTTGAAAATCACTGCTTCAACCTGTTTTCTTGTTTTAATTCATTTTCTTGCTTGCTGGAATGGAACTCAATGAACAGTGAAATAAACTTACCTTTTAGAAATCCTGGGGCTGTGGAGCTGGCTCCATGGTGCTCTTAATGAGAACTAGAGTTCACCTCTCAGCATGTATCAGGTACCACCACCTATAACCGCCTCTCCAGAAGATCAGATGCCCTCTTACACCTCCACTGTTATCTGTGTTTTTGTGTGTACATGCACACTCACACAAATAAAAGTAAGGTTTTTTATTTTAAATTGTGTGTGTGTGTGTGTGTGTGTGTGTGTGTGTGTGTGTGTGTGTCTGTACGTGTGAGTGCAGTGCCCTTGGAGGTGTGAAGAGAGTTGGAGCCCTTGGTGCTGGGTTACAGGTGTTTGCGAGCTGCCTGAAGTAATCTCTGTGGAGCAAGTGCTCTTTTTAAAATTTTATGTGTTAGTGTTTTGTGTTTATGTGTGGCTCCCCGAGTCTGCTTTTTCTCTCAGGTATCCAGGCAGATTGTGAACTGTGAGCTGGACTGGAGGGAATGAAGCTTAGCCGGAGCAGATGGGTTACACCTCTGGGCTGGTGGTCCTGAGTACTATAAGGAAACTGGCTGAGGAAGCCCTGAGGAGCAAGCCAGAAGCAGCACACCTCCACGACTTCTGTACTGGATTCCTGCCTGCAGGTTCCTGCTTTGAGTTCCTGCCATACCTTTTCTTCAGTGATGGACTGTTACCAGGACGTGGAAGATAAAATAAACCTCCTCTCACCCACCCAAGTTGCATTTGGTCATGATGTTTTATCACAGCAATATAATTTCCAACTAACACACCCTGAATTTCAGTTATAGATGTTTGTGAGCCACCATGTAGTTTCTGGGAATCAAATCAGAATCCTCTGTTGAAAGCAGCCACTGTTTTTAACTGCTGAGCTACTACTCCCCAGCCCCACCCCTAAGTAAAAATGTAAAAGTCAGACTGTAGCTCAGTGAACGTTTCCCTAGCATGCATCAGGCCTGGGGATCTAGTATGGGGAAGGGGGGACCATCTCATTTTTGTGACAACCCATTTTTTGCAGGCTCTGATATGAAAACCAGACTTGTCCCAGAGAGATACTTGGGGTCTCCATTTTTCTTGCCTCTCCATTTACTTAGACACTTTTACTCTGCCATTGTTTCTTTAAGTCACAACAATAGCTGCTTCCTGAGTGCTTTCTGTCTGGCTGTAAGTCAGCTGTAGCCCATCCATCACAGCACCTCCAAAGACTTCTTTAAAAATCAAGTCTGGAGGCTGGAGTGGTGCTTAGTGGTGAAGAGCCCGGTCTCTTCTTCCAGATGACCAGGGTTTGATTTTCAGCACTACATGGCAGTTTACAACTGCCTGTAACTCCAGTTCCAAGGTATCTATGCCCTCTTCTGGCTTATGCAGGCACACAGGCACACATGTAGTGCTCAGACATATGTGCAGAAAAAACATTCAAACACACACACAAAAAAAATTTTTTTTTAAATCAAGCCTTCTGTATTCAGAGTCTGCTTATTTTGCCTTTGCCTTCAGAATAAACTTGAGGTTCCTCATAATGGAATGTGAAGCTCTTATTGTCATGGCATCTTTCTTGTCCACCATCCCTTGATTATATACTACATCCATGCTCAACATGTGGTGTCCCCAAGAAAACTGTGTTCTTGAACCTAACAAATGCTAAAGCAGCATTCACTGTAGGTTAACCACTTCATATAGATACCATACATTCAACAGTAGGCGTAGCACCGAATGGATGTCTGTCCCTTTGTAAGCTATTTCAACTTGCGTTAAGCTCTGTGGAAGGAATTGATTAAGAAGGTGCTAGAAAGAGATCTAAGTGAGAAGGCTAGAAACGAATTTCCTCTAGAAAGTGTAGCTTCCCTAAGGGAGTGATGTCTGAAGTTAAGATATCTTAAGACAAGGAGTTCAGCCATGGTAGGAGCGATGGTTTCATGTGGGAATAGTAGGCATAGCTCCAAGAGAAATAAAACAGAAAGCAAGCTACTATGGCTATAGTAAAATGAAGATGAGAAAATATTATAAAAGGAGGTTGGGTGAACTAAGTACTTCTTTGTGGTTCTAAAAATATAATGAAGCTGAGTGTGGTCTGTAATCACAACACTTGGAGGCTGAGTCAGCAGCACTCAAGTTCAAGGTGAGCCTAGGCTAATTGAGGCAAGCTGTTGAAGGTGTTTTCTGTAACCTGTGTTTTTCACCCATGCCCTTGTTCCCAGAAATAACGACTCTGAGGCTTAAATATATTTATAAAAGCCTAGGACATTATAGCTAGTCATGTTCCCTGACTTTCTCATAATTAATTTCCTATGTATTTATTCTATTCTAAGTTCTGCCACATGGTTGGTTACCTCTGCTCATGTTTCATGTCCTCCTCAGTGTCCTGGGGCAAATACCCAGTGTGCTCCACTCTATCACAGCATTCACTCTCTATACTGGAACTCCTCCCTCCTGTTTCCTGCCTCAGCTATATGCCAATTAGGCATTTATTCACAGGTGAAGAATCCATACAGTATACAAGAGATTATACCTATAAAACCCCTCCAAATAAGAGTTGTATATGTTACACATGCCTGATATTTGAGCACTTTGCAGAATGAGAACATGGACAATGAGGAAATAAGTGATGAATTAACGTCATAGTATTTCAACTGTCTTTCCATAAGTATTAAATCAAGGAGTACTTCAGAGGAGCAGACAGATCCAAACTGACCAGTTTGGGAAACTTGGCAGTTAGCTAATTCTGATCTCT